GAGGTAGAAGAGTCTGTAGTGGGTGCCGAGGGGAGCTCTGGTACAGCTGGTCATTAAACAGTCGGGTCAGGGCAGAGAAGGCCCTACCTCTGTCCACTGGTCTTGTCTTCACGGCGCCAAAGCGAAGCGACTCTTCCCGGGTACAAGGAAGGAAGAGGATGTGTGTGCTGCGGTGCTCTGAGGAAACATGAGGAATTTGAGTTGTTGAGGCTCAATGGCCTGCACAGGAGAGGACCCGGGTCTGGGGCTCACCCACTGGGTGCTGTTGTAGATCATTCCATTGCCAGAAGTTGGCTTTTCAGGGGGCAGGCTTGTCCTGGGTGCCTTGGGGCCTCACACTTTGGTAAGCACGCTTGGGTATTGAAACTCTTAGAGAAAACTGCCCTGAAATTGGGATGTCCCAAAGGTAGGTTCATGCGCTTAGAAGTAGGTAAACAAATAATCACCTTCATGGGTGATTATTTAGATATACCATAAATAACCTTTATCGCTTCCAAAACATATCATGGTCATCACTGACTCCTTGCCACCCAACACAGTGCCTGACAGGGAATAAATGCGAAATTAACAAGTGACTTCTAGCAAATAGGTTTTAGTGCATGTTCCGTGGTGCCTACAATTCTGACACGCAGTTTCGTGCGTGTACATGTGTGTCTGGACTGCCCTTATTGAGAGCAGGGAAAGGATATCATCATAAGCCCTCAGTGCCTCAGTAATGACATCTTTAGTTTTATTAATCAGATGACTATTCTCCCAGGAGGTAGGAGTAGCCGGAGAGCTCAGAGTACTTGACGGTTGGGAGTAAGAATGGCTGAAAGGGTATGAAAGGAGATAATGAATGAATGAATGAATGAATGACCCCAGACTCTGCAAAATCTTCACCTTCCACACATTCTCGTCTGGGTGTTTTAGCCTTGCCCAGAATAAGGACTTTCTTCTAATGAGACCACAGGCTATAAAACCAAGAGGCCAACACAAAACTTGGAGGTGAATGCTTTCTGGTCTGGTTCTGTTAAAATGTGCCGCCTCTTCTAGCTGTGTGGTATTTTTTTTTTAACTCCCTCCATTTCTTTCTCTCCTGTTGTGTATCAGTCCACCTCCGCCACTTGCTCCCCGGGACCCCCAGGCACGTCTTGATGGCTTTGTCCCCTCATCGCGGACACTGCATTTCGAGGAACGTGTTGTAGCCAGTGACTGGAAGTAATTACATGGGCACCTGCGGACCAGCCCTCAGCCTTTGTGTTTTATGGGCATATAATATTCAGCCCTAAAAGTTTTACAGAACGGTTTTAAAGTCATTCCCACTTGTGTCCTTTTTCTCAAACTGCCTGAGGGTTTTTGCTTTTGTTTTTTTTTAATGAAAGTGGCTTTGGGAACCAACTGCTCTTCACCAGAAGAGGATGCTGACACTGGGAAGAGCCGGCTGGAAGCTGAGCATGAGCAGCAGCTCTCCGGGGGCTTGGCCGTCTGCTCCCTTGCTTTCATCTTTTCATCGGCTACGGCCCTCTCTTTTCTCCCCCCGCACCGTCCCCTAGACCACACAGCAGCCCTGTGTCAGCGTGCCCTTGATACTCTCAGCTGAGAGTCCTCCTGGGAGGCGCCTGGGCTCCCCGGCAGCCCACTAGGCAACAGCTGGCCCACACGTGGCCAGCAGGTGCTGAGTCCAGGGGGCCCCATTTGTGTGCTATTCTGCGCACGCTCAGTGATGCGGGCAGGTAGCGGGTTCCAGCCCAGTCTGTATCCTCAGGTGTGCACGCAGTGTAGCTCTTACTTATTCTTCTGTCATCGAACCTAATCTCTGTTTTGAGCCCTGTGTTGCTGGGTGGTAGAAATTTAGTCAGTTGTTTTGCCTGGGGCTGTACCTAATGTCGTCATGGCTAGTCAGGGCCAAGGCCAAGGCCATGGGGAAAGGACCATTTTGTCCTTCATCGCCAGGTGATGCTCCCATCCCAGCCCCCACCTTTGGCGAGTCTCTGGGAGTCTCTCTGTCCCACTTCCCTTCAGCTTCACTGGTTAGCCATTCTCCTCTAGAAATAGGCACTTCCCCAGGACTTCATCACGGGGGCGAGGCAGGATCCCAGTGTCAGATCACGTGCACGGTTTTGAATCTTGGCCCCTTTACCGGGGTCTCGGAAGGGGCAGCACAGCCCACCTCACCTGCTCCCACCACCACCCATCCGTGCCCACTCTTTTCTTTTGACCACGTCGCTCTTCCTCCAGCTTAGGACAATCCCTTCCAGGCTGAGACGCAGTGGTGAGGTCAGAAACTCCAGGTAAGGCTCACTGCCCCATTCTAATGCACTGTGCTGGCTCAGCCCTGGAGGCCTCTCAAGGCCCAGGCATCACAGGCTTTGGAAACCTCGCAGCCAGAAAAGGACCTCCTTCCCCCTTTGCTTCTCACGCTGTCCTCTGCCTCCTGGTGGGGTAATGAATGAATGCAGGGGAGTCTGGCTCCCTGAACTGGTAGCAGCATAAGGGGGAGAGAGGCAAGGAGCTGCTGGGGTAAAATGTTAGTACTTCCAGATTGTTACCCCTCTATTCAGACTATTGCTTCTCGGTCTCCCCTGTGCAGGTGCTTCTGGCTTTGGCCTCAGCCCCTAGGCAGCATTGCTGGACAGGAGTCAGGGAGGCCAGCAAAGGTATAGAGAGCCCAACAGTGTCTTAGACTGAAGACTGAGGGGCACAGGGGGGTCGAAACCGTATTTTGACATGTCTTCCTATGTCCTGTTTCAGGGCGGTGGGTGAGAGCAGACGGCCGAGGGAGTGGGTCCCATCCCTGCTTCTAACACCATGCTTTATCCCTCTTCTGTGTTGGAGTCCTCCAAAGATGAGGACAAACAAAGATGAACAGCGGCTTCGAATATAGGAAGTGATTGTTGTATTCCCTGTGACCTGAGAAGTGGGAAGGGAAAGGTAGTTGGTGCTATAGAGTAAAAGTGTCCTGTGTACACACAGCCTGCCTGCAAGATCTATGAAGAATCAGGTGAACAGCCCCAACCCCATAGCATTTGTTCCTTCAGCAATCACTAATGCAGGCTACTGTGAGTAATTTTTGAATGCCAGTATGCCGTCCATGAAGAGACTGGGCTCCGGTCTGTTTTCGACTCTGTCCAAGTCCCATCTTCTGGGTACCCGTGGGTCTCCGGGTCAGAACGACGAGGAGACCAAGTGCGAGTCACTTAGGGGCCTGTGTGAGCTCCCTGCAGGAGGCTCTGTGTCCACTTTGCCTGGCGACGCCTGGTTCTGCTCTGGAAGGCCTGCCTGTCTGTGGTCACTCTCTTGCTTCTGTTCCCTTGATGAGTGAAGGTGGTCAGGAGGGAGTCAACAGGGCGGGGCGGATGCCCCTGTGCGTCCAGCCTGCAGAATATAATTACAGTGATACTGGCAGATGGCCTGGTGCACACCTTGAGTTCCTTTGTTCTAGAAAATAAGCCAAATGCCTCTTTGTCTACATGACTGCTTCAGTCTTCAAAGCAAACCTTCAAGGTAGAAACTCCTATTACCATTGAAGAGATCAGGAATAGACTCGGGGGCTTTCAAGGAATATTCCGGAAGTTAAGGACTGAGCATTTCCAGCGAGTGCCTGTGCCCAAGTAAGGAGCCCTGGTCACTCCAGAGGCCGCCCTGTGTGAGAGAGGCTTCTGTGTAGCGGTGTGAGGACCCCCGGTAACCCTCAGCACCTGACCCATTGCTGGCCGTGGAAATGGACGACAGTGTAGGCAGCAGCGTTAGGAGATGCTGCTGGTTTGCTTGGGCACGGACCTAAAATAGGACTGGGGAGCAGCAGCCGTATAGTCATTTCATCATGTCTCCTCAGGGCTCTGGGGAGGGGACCGTGCATTTCTCTGACAGGGTGGGGAGAGTCCTCAGATGCTCAGACCTCGCTGGTTTGACCCAGGTGTGGGGAGGGCGAGCACGGTTGGCCCTTCTGCAAACTCAGCGTTTGTTTATTATTCATCATGTCTCGTTCCCTCTTCATGAAGAGAAGTTCTCGCATTCCTCTTCAGATCCTGGGCCACAGGTGTCTCTGCCTCACTCAGGCTTTGGCATGAAGCGTGTGCATGTGTGTGCCTGTCATTTTCTATCAAGGCATGGCGTGCGTGCCGTTTTTTATCAAAATGTGGAGGAACTTTTGTAAACTAAACCATGAAATAATTTGTGTCTTTCTCCTCCCACCCACATGGGCGTGCGTGTGGGTGTGGGTGAACAGTTAGGGCCCACTCCTCTAATAATTCACAAGATTCTTTCAGTTGGAATAGAGAGGAGAAGCGTGTGGGTCCCTGTGTGCAGCAGACAGCAAGGAGAGACATGGTGGGCAGGAGGCCACACGCATCTCCAGGCAGAGAACCTGGACCCCAGGAAAGTCCACGGCAGATCTGAACTTAGGACGCCTGACCCTTTCCAGCTTTTCCCTTCCCCTCGGGCTGCAGACAGATGGGAATCTTGGAACACAAAGTGCAAGGCCAAGGTGGTGACAGTCTGTCCTAACACACATTTGCGCACGTGGCATTTACAGTTGTCTTGCACAATCCTGCATGTTAGCTCTCAGTGGCCCAGGTGAGGACAGGAAGGGGGCTTAGGGATGAGCTGGCTTGCCCACTCACTTTACAGATGGAGGCCCTGGAGGGAGGTTCAAGGGCAGAGTGTGGTCCTACAGGTAGTTAGCACCAGGACCACATTCCCATTGTAAGTTTAGACAGTGCGGCTCTGCAACCTTGGGCTCCAGTGGGAAGAATTACTGTATGCAGCCCAGGGCCTTGGGATTTTCCTGAACACATACCCTTCCTTCTGTTGTGTTGTGTTGTGTTGTCTTGTCTGTGTTATCCTCCCTGGCATGGTGGAGGCGGGGGGAGGCGACATGTTTACTGGTTAGCTCAGAGGGTGTTTGTGGCCAGAGGGAAGAGCAGGAACCGAGGCCACCAGGAGCTACAGCATGTCCCCACAGAGGCTGACGTGGAACCCTCGATGCTCAGAGATGTTTTCCAAACCTTCTCCCACAGGTGGCGTTGTCCTGAACCCGGCCTATTATGGGATGCCCGGCCACACCAACATCATGGTGCACGAGGTGGGGCACGTCCTGGGGCTCTACCACGTCTTCAAAGGGGTCAGCGAGAGAGAATCCTGCGATGACCCCTGCCGGGAGACCGTGCCCTCCATGGACACTGGGGACCTCTGTGCCGATACGGCCCCCACCCCCAAGAGTAAGCTGTGCCGGGACCCGGAGCCTACCAATGACACCTGTGGCCCCACCCACTTTCCAGGGGCTCCGTTCAGCAACTACATGAGCTATACGGGTACTCCAGTTGCTTCTTGGGGCTCATTTTGGGTTCAGGCTGCACCAGGAGTGGGGGCTGGGAGGGCGGGGGGTTGTCAGGCAGCCAGTCCTGCCTGAGCCCAAGTGTGTTTCTCACGGCCTCCGCTTTTCTTCATGTCTCTGAAGAGCGTAAAGAAACAGTGAGGTGTTCAGAGGTCTCGTTGACTAGATTCTCCTTCACTAGAGATGAAAAGAAAAATGTACGTCTGCATTGGGCACCTGAAAACAAATGTGGCTCAGTGGGTCGGGCCTCATCCTGCAAAGTGAAAGTTCGCTGGTTCGATTCCAGGTCAGGGCACATGCCTGGGTTGCGGGTTTGGCCCCTGTTCATGGGGCAGGTAGGAAAGGTCTCCTGTCGCTGTTTCTCTCCCTTTTCTCCCTCCCTTCCCTTCTCTCTAGAAATAAATAGAATCTTTAAAAAGTAAAGAATGGCACTTTCCTGGCCTTGGATACAACTATGTTGTCTGATCTTGTCCTGGGTTACGCTTCTCCTTTGCCCCATGACACCTTCACTGTTTTCGACAAAAAGTAATCCAGGGTGTAGCCCCCTATTCATGGGTTCGGATTATCACTTATTCCTAAAATTAAGGACAGATATTTGACTTAATGGCCTATTATAGTGGTGAAGGGAAAAGGCAATTTTTCTGTAAGATCCTGGGGCTTGTTTGGTGATGAGTTCTAGAACTACCCCAAAAATAAAAGTAAACAAACCACAGGACCCTGGTCCTGCCTTTGAAGGCAAGGAGAGGTGAGCTGGGCCCGTCGCCTGTCAACAGATCCCTGTCCAAATCTCACTCTGGTCTGTGATTCAGGGGCGTCACACCCCCGCCCGCCCTGCCAACAAGGACACCGTGGGCCTTGGAGGACAGAGCTGTTGAAGCCCTGCCTTTGATGTGGGCAGAAGAAGCATCTAAAAAGCAGGCGGAGGTGTTTGACCCACGCGCTTTCATTGGAAAAGGCCCAAAACTAAAGAGAGTTCCCTTTCTAACACTACAAAAAATGGATCCGATGGGGAGATGTGCCCAGCTCCAAAAGTGAGGTGGGGACCACAGTTCCAGTCTTGCTGCCTCCTTGACCTTTGGCTCTCTTGCCACTTGAGCCTCGTCACTGAAGACTCACTGACCTTGGCCAAAGCCGCTGAGCCCAAAGCAGGTGTCTGCGGCCCCACAGACGTGCCCCCCGTGGAAAGGTCGTATGCTGAAACACTGCCACCTTGTGGCTCCCTGAGTAAGCAGCTGTCGGCCCAGAGCAGCTCTGTGCACCGGGGCGACCCTGGCCCAGCCCCAGGCCAAGGTAATGAATGGCTTGGGCTTAGAGATGAGCACATGCTGCTCTCTGCCTTCTCTCCCCCGTTTTCAGTTGAGACACATTCTGGAAAGAACACATGTATGCATTCGACAGGCGTTCATGGAGCTAATAAGAGTGAGGTGCCGTGTTAGGTGCGGGAGACGCAGCTGCGAACCAGGCAGAAGTTGTCCCCGCCGTGATGGCCTTGGCAGGCTGAGACCCCCATCTCTCTCGTTCCCTTTTCTGTCTCCGCAGACGACAACTGCACTGACAGCTTCACCCCTAACCAGGTGGCCCGCATGCACTGCTACTTGGACCTTGTGTACCAACAGTGGAGTGACAGCCGGAAGCCCACCCCTATTCCCATCCCTCCGGTGGTCATCGGGCAGACCACCCAGTCCCTCACCATCCACTGGCTGCCTCCGATCAGTGGGGTGGTGTACGACAGGTGAGAGGGGCCCTCACCTCGGTGGGGCCGCAGGTTTCTTCCGCAGTATCTCTGCTGTGTGGGGGGAGAGCACGTGGCGGCGGGGGAGGCCCAGCTGGGAACTGTGAGCCGAGCCGCTGCTGGGGTGCCCCCTCCAGCCTGCCCAGTCCCGTCCTGGTGGCAGGAGGGCTCTTGGGCTCCCCTGGGAAGCCAGGGGCTCGCCACCTGTGCTCCCACCTTGGCAAGGGGACTTGCCGATGTTTTCTGCAGAATGTCACCTCTGAGATGGCAATGTCACCTCTGAGATGGCATTGCCACCTGGCCACGTCAGCCCCTCTCCTTGGAGAAGGGGTGCGGCAGAGGTTTGCCCCTTGCACAGTAGTGTTGGGGGAAGGGAAGCCAGGCATGTTCTTGCGGTCAGTGCTGGGGAGGGTGGGTGGCTGGGTGGCAGGATACCCACTGCCACCAGCTGTGCATCCGGGGTTTACCTGGGTCATGAGGGTGTTTCTAGAGCCCTCTCTGCCTCCTGGTGTACCCAGCTCCTACCCCACTCACAACTACCATCTTGTGGCCTTGTCTTTATTTGTTCATTTTTCTCTCTGCCCACTCAGCTGGCAGTGCCCTTACCTCTTGGCCTGCCACCGTGGGCACCAAACATGTCTATTGAAGGAGGGATCACGATATCTGAGATTAGTTTTTCCTCATTCTTTGCATATTGGTGTAAATGGATACCAGGGACGTCTTTGTCCAAAGGAGAGAAGGGGGGAAAAAAGACCCCTGACCACTGGGGAAGATGGAGGAACGTGCTTTAACGAGAAGGACCAGAGCCCCATCTGTGACCTGCATGGGTGCTCTGCATCCCAAACCTGCTGCTGTTGTCTACTGAGGGGGTGGCCGAGGTCTGCTTGGCCCTTCCATAGGGGACGCATCGTGCCAGGCCTCAGGCCTGCAGTGTCCCTGTTCTGTCCTTCCAATGAGGACAACTCCTGCAGGTTAAGCTGAAGCCGGGGGCCTAGACTGGCCCACAGTGCTATCCCAGCCCCACAACTGGAGAGAGGTGGATGGGGGCATCCGTGGGGCTTCAGAAAGGGGGACCATGGGATATGTTAGCTCCGTTAATTTAGTGCTGCTGCACAGATGCCCCTCTTCTGTGTGCCATGCTTCCCCTCGGGGTGAAGCCCCCAGTGAAGGGGCTGCATGGCCCTGGAGTGTGTTTCCTGAAAGCTGAGCGAGGGGACAGGGAGATACAGGGATGTGGGGTGGGGGGTAGCAGGCAATCCACTTTTCCAAGTTGTGACCCCATCCTTCTGAGATCTCGTCACCTGCCCTTTAGACCTTAATAACGCTACCTGGGCACCTCCATCCTATACAGCACTTCTGGTTGTCACAGCACCCGAGTGCTCACAGGTCCTTGGGATGCATGACCCTTGTGCAGCTCTGGTCACACGGGCCGAGCAGTAAGTCCTCCGGGGGCCTGCGCAAAGCGGAGCTTTACGCCTGTTTATATAACACATGTAAACAATTTAATCTTTCAGTCCCCTCTCTAGTGCAGATGTTGCGATAGAGCAGACCTCAGTGCTGGCTCCCCGAGAGGCCGCTGGCAGAGGCGGCTGTGCTTGCTCCCCCTCCCCAGCTCGCTGGGCCGCAGCGCTGCGGCCTCCCCCAACGTGTGTCCAGGGAGATGCGCGTCACATACCCCACGATTTGTGTCACGCTGGGAGTTGTGTTTACTCCTCCCCAGCGGGAATCTGGAGTCCCTGTGTCAGCGAGGAGCCAGGCTGCGCACTGAGCGGCCCCGCCCCCCTGAGGGCCGGGTGCATTGAGGCCTGTGGTCTGGAGCTGTATCTGCACAGACGGGGCTGCTGCCAGCAGTTGGAGCGTGATGCTCAGGACACCTTTCCGTTGCCAAAGTCCTGGACATGTCCCAGGGTTTGAGACTTTGCTCAAAGGACTTAAGGAAGTTGCCAGGACCTCAGGCAATTGACTTAATCGCTCTGAGCCCGAGCGCCCCCCTCCTAAACACAGGCTTCTTAGGAGATTGGCAACAATTTATGAAAAGCACCTCCGGGGCTCCATGCCAGACATCTCAGGGGCTGGCGGCGTCATCATAACCCCTCTTTAACAAAAACACCAGCTTTCTAGTATTTTTGTCGGTTATAACTTTGTCCCCTACCTGCTGAGAAACTTTGAGTCGATGTCTCCATTTTCAGATGTGTCGTCCGCAGTTGGGCATCTGAAAAGGTTCAGAGTGTCAGAGATGAGCCTCATGGAGTGTCTGCTTCTTGTTATGTAGCCACTGTCTGCCCTTTTCCCAGTGACCCCAGATGCGGTGCTCAGAGAGGTCTTCACAGGCTGTAGTGATGGTCTCAGGGACACCCGTGCAGCACACCCAGCTGGAGAGACTGCTGAGGCCGTGTTTGTACCAGCTGCTGGGCGTGGAAAGAGTGGGCCCCTCATAGGCGAAGAAGGAGGGGGCATGGGAATTCCCAAAACACCAGTGCAGTGCCCTAGGGCAAGAGGCAGAAGGCCCAGGAGGAGAGAGTACAGGCCACTTGGTCAGACTGAGTGCCACTACCAAGGTTATGGCGGGATGGGTCTTTAAGGCTGTGTAGGAGTTAGCTAAACAGAGAGGCTTAGAGAAGCTATTTGGTAGGAGAGAGAACAGCAAGTTTCACCACAGAGCTGTGCGAAGGGTATGATGTGTTTGTGGGATGGTAACTAGTTCCTCGTGATGGGGACCTAAGGTACAGGAAGGAACCGAAGCCCCGTGGGGCTTGTGGGGGACCTTGGATCATGGTGAGGGACTCAGCTGCGTCTCCGAAGGTAACTGAGAGCCCAGGGGCACTGCATTTCATACAGCTCTGATTTTACGTATGTGATTAAAAGTGGGGAGTTTAAAACCTAAGTCCACATACAGCAAAAAGTTTACTCTAAAAACTGCTGTCTTTTTGGGCGGGGGATGGGGGAGAGAATGCAAGGTGTCTTTGGATGACTTGGAGAATCAGTGAGGAAGAAGTCCGATGTCAGAGGATTCAGATCAAAGTTCCTTTGAGTTGAATGCCTGAGGCAGGAAGCTGCCCACCTTCATCCCCGGAGGCCTCCTTCAAGACCTAGTGAAAGTCCCTGCCTGCTAACCTGCTAATCTCTTCCCACGCCACTACGGATTTTACGAAGAGGAGGCCCACACCAGGCGGACATGATAGGAGAAAGAGTGGTGTTCCCTGTTACCCCACCCCAGGGTCTCACCACCTACTGCCACGCCCTCACCCCGTGAGGTCTTCTGAATTTCGTTCTGCAAGTCCTTTGACGGATTCTCCCCTCCGCCCCTCCCTCCCCGCAGGGCGCCGGGCAGCGTGTGCGGCGGCTGCGCAGAAGACGGGGCGTTCCGGCAGTACGTGCATTCGGCGTCCTCCCGGCGCGTGTGCGACTCCTCGGGCTACTGGACGCCGGAGGAGGCCGTGGGTAAGGGACCGCAGCATTTTCCTTCAGACCTGGGGGCTGCAAGATTGGGGTGAGGGTGGAGAGCTGGGGGGGTGGGGGGTGGTGTGTGTGTGTGTGCGCATGTGTGAGTGTGACTTGCTAGGAAAACCCTCTGCCCAGTACCTTTGTGTGTCGCCGATGTCCCGCCTGTGCCTCCTGCGGGGGCCCCGTGGCCGTGGTGGGGCAGAGGACAGCTCAGAGGGCGGAGGGACGGAGAAGTCCGCTGATGCAGGCGGAAGCTTCAGGGCGAGAGTCCAGGCACGCAGCGTGCCCGGTGCTTACGGCCAGTGGAGAGGCCTTGCTGCAGGGCGGCATGGGGTGACCTGCCACTCTCTTCACCAGGAGAGTGACAGAGAACATGCTGCAGAGAACACGCACACACGGGCACAGCCAGGCTTCGTGGGCATGGGGTGTGCCAGGCGCTCCAAACGGATCATTCTCATTTTTGCCGTTTTGTGAGTCTGCTCATCACTGGTGCTGCTTGTGCTTTGGATGCGATCTAAGCCGAGCTCTAGGAGTGGGGAAGTGTTTCTCAGCTGTCCCTTTCCCAGTCTCTTCCCCAACTTCTTTGTTACACAGTCACCTGCATAGGTACGTCAGGGCCTCTGAGACAAATCAGAGCATGTGTGTTGTCCCAACTCAAGTCCCCAAGGTGCGGTTGTGTGAGCCCCTGCTGATGGCTGGCTTGGCTTCCATTACCACCACCTCCAGTGTTTACCTAACCATCATCTTTCTCTTTAACTTGTGCTTATTAAGCCCCTAGAAACTGTTCAGTCAGCTGTGCTGGACACGACCCTGTCAGAGTGTGCAGTCTTGGTTCTAACAGGAAAAGGCAGAGAGAGTGCAGGTCCCCAGGGTCCCCAAGCTGTCCACTTAGGCTCCCAGTCACTCATGTGGCAGGAGGAACCTGGAGGGACACAGTTCACTTGACCCTCTGAGAGTTCTCAGGACAGGTCAGAAAGTTACTGTGAAATTCGCGCTGGCATTGCGCTGGGCTGACTCTGAGACTGGCATTTCTCAAAAGGCCGTTTCTGGGGCAGACCGTTCGTCCTGTGCTGCTGTTTTCATGCCAGTTTCAATCCCTGGCCCTGCACTTTTTTCTTTTTAATTCTTGGGGAAATTTAAAATTATCTGGTAGAAGTAGAAAGAAAGAAGTTCTGGGTTCAAATTCTCGTTATGTGTCCTGAGGCAAACCGAGTCACTTCCGAGGACCTTCATGTGTTTTAACAGGCGGTGATCATGAGAGCTTTCTGACAGTTTGTGCTACTTTTGGAATGGCTTCCAAAAGTCTCTACGCTGCCAGTGTCTTTGGGGAGGACTATTGGAAAATACTGCTAAGAAACACTGGTCTTCCTCTGCTTTGAAAAGGCAAAGAACCAAGTCACTTTCGAAATACGCACCACGGAAGTTACTGACTCCCCCACAGAGCGTGCAGAAACTGATGCGTGTATGGACATGCTGCGGTGACATTTAATGACGCTGAACAAGCTGTCATTGACGGGGACCAGAACTCCAAACCAGACCCATTTCCACTGACATGGCTTCTTCTCAGTTTGAACATCCCTGGTTCCCCATTCTAAAGTCTCCCCAGCATCATCCTGCCCTCCTCCAGCCCCTCAGGCCCCTTCCCTTTTCTTCAAAGATGCCATTACTGTGTGGAATGACCCTTCCACCTCTCACCTGTTTGTTGGTGCACCTGTTACTTTATCATAAGACAGGTAGCGCAAGGCCTTCTCTGCCGCATTTACTCTCCAATAGCTGGATTAGTGCAGGGTGTAGGAGAGGTGCGCAGCCCACTTTTGTGTAATGAATGAATGAATGGATTAAAAATACAGGCAAAAAATAGTAGGGACCTTATGATGTAACACACCCAACATGCACAGCTCAACACACATACGCTTAACATCTGAACTGGTTTCCTCTGGGTTTTGGAATATTGTTTATTTTCCGAAGTCTGAAGAGCTAAATAATTCTGTTTTTGCAAATGTAGCTTGCAGATGCTTCTCTGGAACACTGTATAGATCTTCCAGACTAGCTAGTATGACAGGGGTTAAATGGTACTCTTATTATGAGGACGCCAATGCTTAGAATGACCGGCCACAGCCACACAGGTAACAGCACAGCTGCACAGGAGCCTGACTCTGCTTGTTCCTGGTCTGGCACTTTGCCTGCAAGTCCCCTCACGGGACAGAAAAGAAACCTTAACATTTGTGATATTTGACTTTTCAGCATTACATTTTTGCTCGGCTACTGACTCCCTGTTCCTCTCCACCAAAGAACAAAGTGCTCCCGCAGCCTCCTGCGTGCGCTGACCGGCCACCTTGCACACACCAGAACTGGATGTGTGATGGCCAAGGCGCCCTCTTAGGGGACGAAGGAAGTTCTGTGGCGCCTGGTTAAACAGAGCATGGCATCAGATTGAGACAAACATCGGCTTTATTGACAAATAAAACAGGGCTTCAGAAGCATTAATTTATCCTAAATTATTAACAAATGAATGCAAACAATTCTCCTCTGATCAAGGAATCTCTAAGCACACAACTTAGCTTCTCTGGCTCAGCCTGCGTGCCCACCTGTGATGTGGGTCGCTCCACTCCCAGGTCCCAGCCAGAGCTCTCGTTAAAGGGCACCTAGGAGGGGACATGGAACAAGGCAGGACTTCTGAATTGTTACTCCTTTGTCCTCAGTAGTACTTACGACCCAACCCACTAAGCTGGCCAGCTTCCGCGGGAGCTGGTTTGAAGTTTTCTTCTTCTTCTGTCTTCTTTCTGGTTGCCGCTAACCCGATAACAGTCGTTCCTGATGTGTCCGTCCCCCTCAGGGCCTCCAGATGTGGACCAGCCCTGCGAGCCGAGCCTGCAGGCCTGGAGTCCGGAGCTGCACCTGTACCACATGAACATGACCGTCCCCTGCCCTGCAGAAGGCTGCAGCCTGGAGCTGCTCTTCCAGCACCCGGTCCACGCCGACACCCTGACTCTGTGGGTCACCTACCTCTCCACGGACCCCTCCCAGGCACTCTTCGACACGGAGATCTTACTGGAGCACCAGGAGTCTGTGCACCTGGGCCCCTTGGACACTCTCTGTGACACCCCACTCACCATCAAACTGCACCTTGACGGGAAGGTCGTGGGGGTGAGGGTCTACACCTTCGATGAGCGGATGGAGATCGATGCAGCGCTCCTGACCTCCCGGCCCCGCAGTCCCCTGTGCGCGAGCTGCAGTCCTGTGCGGTACCAGGTTCTCCGTGAGCCCCCATTTGCCAGCGGCTTGCCCGTGGTGGTGGCACATCCTTACCGCAAGTTCACGGACCTGTGAGTTCGGAAGTGGGGCTTTCTACTCCATGGTGCTTCCCAGAGTTTGGGGAGTGGGTTCTGCTTCCTTTCCCTCCATTTTATACTCTGACACACCCTTAGGTGCAGAAAGGTCCAGAGTCTCAGAGGGGACTTGATTCTAAGGTGGCATATCTTGGGACGAGGGCAAATACTTCCCAGAAAGGGACAGGCAGGTGTCTGACTGAAGAGGCCCTCGTTAGGATTATGGAGAGAAGAGGTTGGTGGGTGAGGAGTTTCCGTTGGACCGGAAGTCATTGCCACAAATAAGTTGACCGGAGTCAGGTACTTCTGTCTGGTGACACAGTTTAATTTCTGATGCTTTGCTGAACCTCTCACATAATCAGCCCCTGCTCCTCTAACGCTGAAAGGTCACAGTCAACTCCTCCGTGGCTAAGCAAAGAAGCCAGTGGCCCTGAGACACCACGTAGCTCCGTGACTCACTCAGGGTGTGGGCTTCATGGTTTCTCCCCTTTTCCTCGTCCCTCCCTCACTGCCACTCTCCTTCCTTCTGTCCCAACTCTCCTCTCACTCCTCCTCCTGTTCTTCTTCCATTTACCAAGTTCTGCTGAGCCCCTGGCACTGTACGCTCAGTGCTGGGGACCCAGACTGAGGTCAGGTCATCGACCTAAAAGACCTTAGTGTCCAGAGTGGCAGGCAGGCTCGTGTCCCCACAGACAGGTTCTCCTTCCTCCTCATTGTCCTCAGAGATGCCGTGAGGGCAGAACTCGGGGCAAGACAGAACTTCTGTTGGAGGTGCTGCGCTTGTTACTTTGCCGTGTTAGGAACAGTCACGGAACAAGAGGTGGTGGGTCCAGACGACAAACACTGTTGCTCGTGCTTCTACGGGTTGGCTGGTGTGCTCACGGGGACTGGCTGGGCCGGGGTCAGGTGGCCCGGGATGACCTCATGCACACACTAGAGGCTCAGCCGAGGCAGCCGACGTGTCTGGGAAGACACAGGCCCCTTTCCACACCATCTCTTGTCGCCAGTGGGCTTCGCCTGGGCTTGTTCTCATGGGGGCGACAGGGTTTCCAGCAGCAGGGAGGGCTCCCCACAAACGCTCACATTTTTCAAGTCTCCGCTGATGTTGCTCATGATGACATTCCACTAGCCAGAGCAAGTCACGCAACCAATCCCAGATGTAAGGGGCAGCACGGGAGACCTTACCTGTTGAGGAGAGGGGCCCGGCAAAGTCACGTGGCCGAGGGGCATGCCTGGGGATGGGAGGAGTCTGTGGCTCTGGTAGTCAGCCGCTGCTACAGAGCAGTGGAGACCGCCATTGGCCTTGAGCTTCACTACACTGTCCCTTCCCTGTTTGCTCTCTGAGCGAGAACCAGAAGACAGCAAAACGGTCAGGAAGCCAGTGCAGATGGGCAGGGAGATCACGGGATACCTTTAAAAAGATCATTTTTGAGATTGTCTAATTGGGCAGTTAAAGTCATGCTGATTATCCCTCTAACTGGATGTTCACATACACGCGTGCCCACATGCACATACGCACATACAGAATCTTTACCGTCAGTGACACCCCATTCTGTAGCTGAGAAAACGAAACTCTGGTGTAGCAGAGCTAGTTAGGGGCTGTCCCAGGACTCAGGTCCAGCTTTCTGACCGAGTCTCATTTCAGTGTCCCTTCCTCAGACTGCCTTCCACAAACTCAGGTCATGGGGGGCTGGGGCTCCCTGCTGCTGAGTGCCCCCCCTCCCCGCCCAGCCCCACCAAGAAGCATAAACTCAAGCTGACGCTCCCTACCCATCCCTCCCAGCCAGGCGACAGTGTGAGACTTTTACGTGAGGCCACATGAGACGTCCAACCGAAACTGTCCTGCAAAGGGCAGCCATCAGGGCCGATTAGGGTGCAGACTGGTTTTGCTTTGGGAGCAGCCAGCACTTTCTCACGAGAACACGCCTCCCTAGCCAAGGCTAGTTTAGAAATCAGGAAGTCTTTAACACTGGGGTGCCTTTCCTATTAAGATAACTAAAAGTCAGTGCAGAGGTGTTTAGGGTGTTGACGAAGCCCCGGAGCGTCGGTCGTCTGTGGTGGCTGTGCCGAGAGAGTGGAGGTCTGCGGAAGAAGGGCTGGGCTTGGCCACTGGTGGCCCTCCCTTGGGGGTCCCACCCTGCGAAGTCACTCCCACCCCACCCTGACCTCGACTCTGACAGTAGTTTCCCAGATGGGCCAGGCCCTGGACAAAACTAAGACGAGGGGAGAATTTGTCTTTGGGACCAGCTGCCCCCCTGTCGAGCCCCCATGCCCTCTAAATGTTCTGTCTCCCCCCCCCACACACCTGGTGAGTGCACTTGGACTCCAGAGGGAGTCTGGCGAAGGCCTTCCCTCTCCGTGGCAGCTGGCGAAACCCCACGCCCGGAGTAGTTGCACCTGACAGGTTTGGGGTGGGGAGCAGTTTCACACACGTCTGACGGGGCATTTCTCGCATCCCCTGCCAACATGATGGCGGAAGGCCTGCCTGGCTCCTGAAAGGAAACAGTGCTCTGTCCCCTAGGGATTCAGTTTCCCCGAGGCGGGGATTGTCTCGAAAGACAGACAAAAGCCTGCAATCTACAGACTCAGGAAGGGCCAAACCACCGAGTCTCACCTTCAGTTTGCAAACATGCTGCTCCTATAAGAGCTGGTGTTTTTTTTTAACATAGTAAAGATACACCAGAAATACACCGCCCCTACCCCGCCCCCCGAGTCTGTAGGACTTGCAGTGAATTGTGTTCGGGTGCTCATCACTCATGGCACACTCACCATGTGGAAGGTACTGGGCAAACAGACACGGATGCGGCTTCGGCATCATGCTGCTGCGGAAGACTGTGCACCCCGACGGCCCCTATAGCGTTGCTTTTAGACTCCTGCAAACTGTCTGGAAGCGCTAGTCACAGCCCATTGGTTTCCACAGGGAGGTCACACCTGGGCAGCTGTATCAGTACCAAGTTCAAGCTATGGCTGGAGCCGAGCTGGGAGAAGCCTCACCCCCTCTGAGCCACGTCCACGGAGCTCCTTACTGTGGAGATGGGAAGGTGGCAGGGTGAGTATCCGCATGTGAACCTGAGAGCAGGGACTCCTGCCCCGCCGACCCCACCCTGCTCCACCAAGGAGGTCAGCCTTGAGCTTTGGGTCGACTTCTTGTAGAAAAGCGAGTGGCAGGGCACTCTAGGACCTGGTGGTTAAGGGGGGGGGGGCACTGTTATTTGGATCTCATCCCAGGGCGCTGAGCTATTAGGGCAGATCTGGGGTGGGGGGAGGCTGGTAAGGTTTCAGAGAGCAGCTGTGGTTCAGGGACGGGATTCATGGGGAGAGGGTTCCTTGTCAAATGATGCCACAACGGGATGTGAGGCCGCCTTTGGAGTGGTGGCCTGGCCCGAGCTGCTCACCGCCTGTGTGGTCTGAGGAAGGCGTTGTAGCTCTCTGAGTTCCACCTGCTTGCCACACCCCTGGAGGGCCCAAAGCAATGCCAGTTGCAGCTGTTCTGTAAAGTCACCAGGGTGAAAGTGGAATCAGTCCTTTGGTTTCTTAACATGCCCTGTTCTTTTTTATCTGTTGCTCTTTTGCGACGCCAACCCAGGGGACTACTAATTCATTCTGGCTTGCCTGGAACTTACCCAAATTTAACACAGAAAACTTGTCCCAACGGTCACCCTGAATCAGTCTCTCCTGAATGGTCCTCTGGCTCCCCCTTCACCCGCATAAATCTGCCGTGGTTTGTCTCAGATGCTGCATGCTACTCAGGTGGGCTATTTTTAATTCCCTGGACCAGGTGAGAGCACACTGTACCTTGAAGCCCTAGTGGCGAGCAATTCTATGGCCTTTCTTGGGACCCCACCACCTAGCCATTACTGACCACCGTTTGTCTTCCCAGGCTTCTGAGACCCTTAAGCTTTAGTGCCGGTGTGTTCCTTTTCATGGAAGTCGGAACACCGAATGCTCCCAGACCTCAGGAATAGGTGGAGATGGGTGCGGTCACTTGAATACCAGACCTTGCTGGTTTGCTGTCTACTTCCGCCCCACCAGCCTCTGCAGGCTGCCTCTCTTCCACCACCTCAGTCAAATTTCTCGCTGGGGAAGCCTCACATGTGCACCGAATAAGTCCGGCTCTTGTTTTCCCTGGTCTGGCTGCCTCTTTTGAAGTCTACTGCCCGCCAGTTAAGGTGTTTGTGGGCGTGGTCCCCACTGCTGCCCAGGCGGTGCCCTCTGTGAACAGCACTCTGCCCTGAGTTGTAGGCTGTCCTGCAGCTGTCGGCTGGTGGTGGCCACCTTGAGTCCCACAAAGCCCCATTTACCCAGGGGTCTGGGCCGGAGTAGTGAAGGGCCCTGTTCCTCACTTGGCATTGCACAGTCTCTCCTGGGCCTTGAAACAGCTTCCCCTGAGCAGTACCTGCTTGGCTGCTGGGCCTCACCGGTTCCTCAGCGAAGTTTGCCTTTACGCTTCTGCCTGCGGTCCCTCTCTGAAAAGAGTCACCCTCAGTCCTGCCGTCCAGTGGGAGAACGGCTCAGACCGGCTGCTCTGTCTCCACTGGTGGTACTCTTTTACACGTAAAACACACGGGAGCCACGCAGATTATTTAACCCGCTGTTCAAAACTGGAGAGAAGTGCCCATTCGCTCCGAGAGAACCACAGACCCGAGGGAGGCTGGGGGCCTGGGGCCCAGAGTGGCGTTTGTGTAGGACTCGGCGTCTTAGCGGGGGCCGCCCAGTGTGGGGGCCGCCAGCCGGCGTGACTGCCGAGCCTCAGAAATGTGGCAGTTACGGCGAAGAAATGGAATTTTATTTAATTTTAAATAATTTAACTCTAATTTGAAAACCAAAACGTGGTTCAGTTATTGGAAAAACTGACTTGCTCTTGAACTAAATACAGACCAAGTGTTTGAATTGAGATGTACAGTGTGTGGAAAATATACATCGGATTTCAAGGACCTAGCATTCAAAGAAATAATGTAACATATATCATTAATAACTTCTTATACTGATTACTTATTGAAAAGTTGTTTTGGATAGACTGGGTTACATGAAATATGTTACTAAAACTAAATTCATCTGTTTTTTTAAAAAAAATTCTAAATGCGACTTCTAGAAAATTAAAAAGTGTGTGTAATATGGGTTTCCTATTTCCATCAGGCAGCAATACAGGAGGTGACACAGTATATTTATATATTGTTTAGATCACCTTCAAGATGAACATGAACTTGAAGTTTCCTTAATCTCTTCAATCATGCTATTTTGTATGTCTTTTATCTCTTTTCCATTTGCAGCTTACCATTTAAATGGGATTATCATGCAGCCCTGTTTATGTCCTGCTGCTAATTTATTTTAAAACATCCTCAGGTCTCAGCATTTTGCCTTCTCTTGTCCCTGTGAGGTGATGTCACTCTGAAGTGACTGCCCCACCTCCATCCAAATCTAGTCGTTAGTCGCGTCAGCTTTTGAAGTTCGAAACAAAAATGACATACTTCTTCTCTCAGTAAAGGGTAGGGCAGAAGCAGCTTTACAGCTGTGAGTGTGTGAGCCACAGAGTTTATTCTTGTGTTGTTATTTATTAATTATTATATTATTATCCATACAGACAACTGTGAACTTTTGCCCTGTTTCTCCCCTGCAATACATACTAGCTGCCACCAGGTGGTAGTAGGGAGCAAGGACCACTCCAAAGCCTTAGAGGTGCCCCGACTGAGGAAGGGCAGCAATTGGCTGTGGAGTCTTCCGGTATATGTAGACACTTCCATTCTGCAAAATCCTGACTTTAACGACAACTGCATCTAGATTAAACAAAGAGTGCAAACCAAGAAATATCAAACAGAAACAAACAGAAAACTAATCTACACGGAGACAAGCAGGTTTCCTCCTCACCAAATCCACTAATTTTCAGGTTTCATTCATAAGAGGGCCGGTAGGCATTTTCTAGCTTAAGACCACTTCCCGGAAACACTGTTAGGACCCTCATGGGTCTCCTAGATGTTCCTGAGCCCTGAGCTGCTTGAATTTGGGGGATTCCCACAAACGGCTGGACATGCTCATCAACAGTCATTGCTTACTTTGTATCTTCCGTAAATGTCCATGTACTTAATTTTCTGCGTGTGTGAAAGCATTCTCTTAGCTCCCACTTTTTTCCAGCTTATACTTTTTTTGTTTTTTTCAGTTGTAGTTGGCATTCAGTATCATTTCCTAGTAGTTTCAGGGGTACGGCGTCTTGGTTAGATAATTATATACATGACAAAGTGGTCCCTCTGATGTTTCCAGTACTGGCCTGGCACCGTACACAGTTAGTACGTCCCAGTGACTATTTTGTAACTGCCAGTTTGCGCTTCTTTAATCCCGGCACCTTTCTCACTCCGACCCCCGAGCCCCCTCCCCTCTGGCGGCCATCCATCTGTTCCCTGTATCTACAGGTCTGCTTCTGTTCCACTTGTTTGTTCATGTTGTCCTCCCCCCCCCCCATATGAGTGAGATCATTACAGCTCGCACTTTTCCATGTGGAACGAGGAGTCTTAAGAAGCCAAGATGGTGGCTGTCTGTACATGCCTGCTTTTGCCTTGTAGGCACCTGGGAGAGGAGTGTGACGACGGAGACCTGCTGAGTGGGGACGGCTGCTCGCGTACCTGCAGCCTAGAGGAAGGCTTCCGCTGCACGGGTGAGCTCGGAGGCGCCGGTGTCCGCTCGTGTCCTGTTTGGGGAAGTGTTCCCACATCTCAGTTCCGCGAGTCCTTGATGTCCTGTCAGATACGGCTTATGATGATGATAGCCGTGACAGTGACGTTGGATGTGTCTGTTGTGCGCCAGACTAACTGACTCACATACATTAGCTCATTTAACGCCTTCTCTAAGTCTGAGAGCACGGCAGGGCGGCCCAGAGACCTTCTCTCTCTTGCTTTCTCTTCTGCAGCTAGACATGGTGGCATTGGGGTTGAACCAAGGAAGTACAGCTACAGCGTCTAACAGGGAAACACTCTACAGAGTCTGCGAGTTAAACCCCTCGCTTATACTGCCCCCTAGATTAATGTTACCAAGGATTTCTTCTGGGTCCTCATGTCTAATGTCCATGTCCGCTAAGTAACCCAGTCATAAGTATTCTTCATTGAAATTTGACCAAGGGATCATTCGAAGTCACATGAAGTGCTGTGCGTAATAATGAAGGTCATGAAGAATAACAGAGGCTCATAACATTTCTTAAGCATGGAGAATGCTGGTAATGAATTAGAATGAGGTGGCTTTGACTCTGGGCACCTGCCAGAGGGGGCAGCCCACTCTGGGGGCTGCCCAGCACACTCCACCCAGCTCTGATTAAAGCCATCACTGACGGGCCTCTTAGAGGTAGATTCTCCCTCCATTCCCCTCTGTATACATTGCAGTGATTCTGTGGAACATAACCACTCAGCAAAGTTATTTTAATCAGTGCATTTAAAAATAGTGTAATGTCTCTAAATCTCAAGACAGAGTGGGATATGATTATGATTATGTAGAATTTATCAAGGTGTTCGGTACTGTACAGAACACACAAATGCCCCTGCCCTCTGAGGCAGAATCATGAAATCATGGAACCTGAGTAGCCTTCCATGACCCAAGAAAAGATGCTGGCTGCGCCCCACGTACCAGGGGTCTGGTGGATGCCCTGGCCCTGCCTGCGTGCATACAGGCAAACAGGGACTTAAGTCCAACTTCCTTAGGCCAGCTCCTGGGAGATGGGACCCCTGTACATCACTTATGCTCATACTTTTAGCAGCAAAGAACGTGCCTTGCAACAGACTGTTCTGTTTACAAATGGCCTTGCCTGTCACAGATTTCTTCTCTCCTCTCTGGTTTGCACACTGAGGCTTGGAGCGGATCACACACTCGTCCACAGCATCACAAGGGGGCTTCTGCAGAGCCAGCCCGGAGCTCAGCTTCCCTGAGGCTCAGTCAAGTGCTTTCTCTCTTGCTGTGAAACGGCAGAGGACAGTTTTCCCCTCTGTTTCATTAGACGACCATTCAGATATTTGAAATGCCTCCCCATTTTTCTCCTTCCCAATCCAAACAGCCCCTCTTGTGATTCAGTCTCCAGACCCTTTCCAATTAACCCTGACCTGGCACGCTTCACGCGGTCGGTGCCCAGACAGGAATTCCCTATTCCAGGTGCGGTCGGACCCGCAGGACGTGTGGAACTGCTGCCTGCCCTCTTCTGCACACGAGTGTCCGTTGTCCCGCCTCCATGTGCCTCTGTTCTCTTTGTGGTGGACAGAGGGTTGACATGGAGCACACTCTCCCCCCTCCCCCCGCCACCCCCAACACCACGCCTCCTGCAGTGCAGCTCCCACCCCGTTTAACTGCGGCACAGGCCTCGCTCAGTGCTGTCACGTCCAATGATACCGCCAAGTTCGGCTCGCATTTCCTCAGTTTCTGACTCCAGTAAGACCATAGCTAAACCTCACAGGATAAGGTGAAACAGCATGTACCGCACAGTTCCACATCTGTTTCGGTGAGGAATCCATTCATAATAGGTGGCATATGGAGTTCTAGTCCATTGTTTCTCCGGAGATTAGGTTTAAAGGGATTATTGTTGCATGTGTTTTCAAAGCGTCTCTTCTTTGTAGATGGATTTGAAAAAGACAGAGGCAAAAAGTTTAAGTACATTGTAAAAAAAATAGAGAATCAAAAAGAAATAGTCGCTGGTTCATAAACAGCAAAACAAAGCAAATATATATGTTATAAGTACTATATGTATTATAAAAGATATACACATATTCAGCTATATGTACATGTCCATATACGTCTATAATATGTACATAGTTATGCACATAAATACATGTGTACACACATCTCTGTGGAGAGAGGGAGAAGCATCACCATGGGGAAGTTGACTCCAGCGCACACATACTGGCTTTGGAGAGTGTGGGTGGGCCGTGCGGTTGATGGTGTGCAGGCGTGAGAATTCCCAGATGGGCGTAGAACCCAGTCCTGGAAGCCGTGGCTTATTCCCGGCAAGTAAAGCTTGATTTATCACAGACGGGTCTTACACTTGAATAAATTATTTTAAAAAATTTGTTTCATTTGTTGATTTGAGAGAGAGAGAGAGGAAGAAAGGGGAGAGAAAAAAGGCATCGATTTGTTTTCTGCGTATTTGTGGCCTCACGGCTTGATTCCCATACAAGCCCTGGGCGGGGATTGAATCTGCAGCTGTGGTGTATCTGCATAACACTCTAACCAATGGGCTACCCGGCCAGGGTGACTTGAATAAATTATTGAGGAAATTATTAATATGCACATGTTGATGAGTAGTGAGAGTTCCTGGAACAGTCCTGTGGCATTACTGTGAAGAATTAAAAATACAAAGATGGGTATAGTAACAGCACATTTTAGTAATGATGAGATCAAATGTGTACCTGTGTGTTATTTCGAATCATGGTTTTATTTTCATGTTTATTTGAAGTAGGAATGGGAAATTAGAAATATGCTACTAATATTAATTGTTCTGCACTGTGGTAGAAAATGCAGAACTTAATAGATGGCTTTATAACTGCCCCGGAGCTTTCCACATTTGAAGCGGTTTACACAGCCACGGTTGACTACCATTCACTTAGTCAGGGTTACCCTATGGACCAGTATGGAACGTGTCCAGAGGATATGAGCTGGATTGACTTCCCCCGATAGTTCTTCAGGGTTCGTTTCTTACCCATCTACCCTTGAAGGTAGTCCTGTCTGAGCTTGAGGCACTGGGGGTCATGGGGAGCCCCCAGAACCTGTATTTTATAAGCTCAGCTCAAATCCAAGCTCTGCGGCTTATACGTCATGGGAGTTTGACTAGTCACTTGAAATCGCCGAGACTCAGGCTTCCTATTTATAAACCAAACAAAACCACACACCTCACGTGGCTGCTGTAAGACTTGAAGAAATAACCCCCGTAACCCTCATAAACCGGGGGCCCGTAGTACCTCATTTCAGATCGGGTGTACAGCGAGTGGAAAAAACTCATCGTACAACTCAGCAGCAAAAAGTAGTTGAAAACCCATCTCTTAAATGCTTTAGTGTTTAAAAACCATGAAGGGGGTGCCACGTACACCAAACATTATACCATCTATTTAAATTCTCCTCCTTCTTTTGTCCACTTTCTCATATCCCCAGCTTCCCCTAAGGGTCTTGCTCAAACTATCCATGTAATTTTTTCCTGCAGCCACATGACCGCCTTTTGCTCCCCCACCCCCACCCCTCTTTATACCCTTGTTACGTAGGTGGGGTATACCACTCTCCCACTGAGAAGGAGTTCTGCTTTTTTGGGGGGGGGTGCGTGTGTTTTGCATTTTCGGGTGGCCATTTAGACTGTCAGTTATGGGATTCTCTGGTGAGCAGGAACGAAAGGTGATTACCTTGACATGACACGTTTTCAAACGTCGTGCGGCGTGTTTTGGCAGGGGAGCCGAGCCTGTGCTACGCATTTGAGGGAGACGGGGTATGTGAGCCGTTCGAGATGGAAACCAGCCTCGTGGACTGCGGCCTCTACACTCCCCACGGCTACCTGGACCAGTGGGCTACCCAGGCTTACTCCGCTCATGAAGACAAGACCAAATGTCCTGTTTCCTTGGTAACGGGAGAACCTCATTCCATGGTGAGTTAAGCCAGAAGAATCCAGTCCTGGCTTTGACATCGCCTTTAGTCCTTACTGAACCCAGAATAAGGTAATGGAAAGCGAAAAGCTTCTGGACTACCCATTCTCTCCTGTGTACCCTGGCTAGTTTTCACCCATGTACCTTTGGCCATGCCGTGGTCAGCTTCAAGGTATGCACATCATCTCCAGATTAACCTCAGAAGTACACATAGCAGGAGGTACACTTTGTGTGTGAGAGAATGTATTTTAATAGAAGAAAAGGAAGCAGTAAACAGAACGCCTGGCTCACACCACCAGTCCACCAGCATTACTATTGGCATTACTGAGTGATGTTGGACAAGGCGCTTGACCTCTCTGGGCCCCGATTTTCTCGTACACAAGAAGGGTATAGTAATCCTTCTGCATTCAACTCAATGGGTTACCAAAAAATCAAATAAAATTTAAAATATATATCCTAGATCAGAGTATAATTTGATTTAAACAATTCTTGCTATTGAAATTCTAAAGTTACCACTAAAAACATTCTTAGGTATACAATTTTTCTAAAATACCCATCTAAATAAATAGGAGGTGCTCCGGGGACCCTCACGACTGGCTTCTCTGAGTTCGAGTTGAGTACTGAATAGTGGGCGGAGAGCTCGGCTGTTGGGTGCTATTCCAGGTGTGTCCATTGCCAAGTAAACTCTTCCATTCCTCAGAAGCATAGACAATACAGTCCTTTCAGGAGAAGGGAGGTTCAGCTTTCGAGGTGTCTCAGGCCAGGATGAAATCACCGGAATTTATACTGGAGGAGACACCCCGGGAGACTGAGGGACCAGCTGAGGCTGGTGCTCCCTTTCCAAACTCATCTTGGACCAGGGTGTCTTCTGGGGCCCAGGTCTCTGTGTCCTTGTCCTGCAGCTTCCTTCCTTCTCCTGGTGAGTTGGCCAGTGTTCTCCAAGGCCTGCCGCAGGCCTTTGCAGCAGCGGGAAGAAGGGCAGTAGGCGTGTACTTGCTGCATCTTTATTAGGAAAAATGGCAGCTTTTGTGGAAGTTCAACACTGTAGACTTCCACCGACATCTTATTGGTCAGATCCAGGTCACCTGATCACCCTTGGTGGTAAGGGACCCGGAGGAGATAAGCCTTATTCCGAGGTGCACTGTTCCCTTGAACAAAATTGAAGTTTGTCAATATGAAAGGGAGGAGAACTGGATATGGGAAGGCCACTGGCCGTGTCTGCTCCACTCCCTCAGCCCAGTTCTGGCACCTTTCGCAGGAGTGCTGGTGCCCCAGGGGCAGGCAGCCAGGAAAGTTGGGAGATTCCGATCCAGTGACAGCTTTCTAAAGTGGCTTTCGGTCTGGCCCACCCGTCTTCCCTAAGCGAAGTGGAAGAAGTTTCCTGGAGCGTCTCATCTCTGGCCCCTTTTCCCCCGAGTGCTCGGCAGTTGCCTGACTCAGTAGCCTCTCTCCAGGGGCCAGTAGGTCCTGCCAGGCGGGAGTCTGACCATCGTGCCAGATGGACTTTCATAGCTAATTCCAGAAGAAGTTGCCTGAAATGTGCCGGGAGCTGTTTGGGCAAGATCCCCTGGGCGACGGTGGGCCGAGAGTAGCGATGTGGGTTTTCTGCCCAGGCAAGTTCTGTCTGGGGCTGACCAAGAGCTCCGAGACAGTCCTGTACACTGAGCAGTTTCCCCTCAAATATGCAGTCACAGGGCACTCAGGGTGAGAGGGAACCTTTGGTTCTGTGCTGGCGAGTGTCCTTGTCTTAGCTCTCGCCCTCCACGTTTAATCTTTGGGTAAAATTGCATTTCAGGTGTGCACGTCATACCACCCAGGTTTACCAGAGCGCCGCCCTCCTGCCGGCTGGTTTCCCTGTGCACCCCGAGAAAACCGATCTCGGGACGAAGGCGGCGAGCGGCCAGAAGGCAGCCTGGAGAGCGAGGACGAAGCCTGGCTCAAAGTAAGTGGCCCACGCACGTCCTTGTGAAGGCTGCAGGTGGATTGTGCTCGGGTCTGTGCACACACATGTGTGCGTGTCTGTGCTTACACACGGTTCATTGGAATGGCTCGTCAGGAAGCTTCTTTAGTCATCTCAAAGTGTTTACATTTTAAACCTATTTTTGCTCTTTTTAAATTTGTGCTTTTTTATAAGTGATCAATTTATCGAAGTATAACATGCACACAGGAAAGGGCCAAGGTCAGAAATGCACAGACACATGAATTCTTACAAAGTGCTCACAGAGTTCTCTCTCACCACCACACAGGTCGGGGTCCCCAGGGACCCTGAGAAAGCACAGATGACTCTGTGTGTACGATTTTCATGTCCATGCACCAGCCTGGCTCACTGGAAGAGGAGCCTCTCCCAGGGCTGAGCAGTTTATCCCCAGAGGCTAAAGCTCTACTTCCCGATTCCCTACCTGATTACTGCTCATCTGACTGTGTATTGATTTTACCTGAAAGCTGTTGCAGGCCTCGATGGGACATCTGAGCGGACTCTGAGTCTCATGAATAATTGCGATAAGTGTTTTTTTCCCACCAGGCTCTGCAGTGAACGCCTTCCTTCCCTCGCGTATGCATGCTTACTCCCAAGAGCCCCTTCTCCATCTTATATGCCGTAATACTTTCTCGACCTTGTCATGAGTGATTCAGACTTTGAGATAAAGACTTGCATGCAAAAGTTCCTCAAGAACTTTCTTCAGGATGGACAGCCATGGGGGAGTGAGAGAAGCAGGAGTGGGCAGAGGTGGGGGAGCAGCCCCCTCTGTCCGCAGCCCATTCCACCGGGAGCTGGGATGGCCCTGCTGAGTTGTCCCACCTGTGTACCTCTCACTCCTGTCAAAAGGCCACCGGACATGGGTTTCTCCCCTCCCTGCCTGTCCCAGGGTAGTGGCATGATCTCGCGATGGCTTTCTTCCTCTGCAGGCAGTTTCCAGAACCAGGCTGCTGTGAGCCGAGGCATGACGGAGGAGGTCTGGGTGGCTTCCCGCCCCCATTCACTAAAGACACGGTCCGTCTCTTTCTGACCCCCTGCCGAGTCCCACAGGCTCCTCTAACAGGGCATCTCCGCATACCTAGCCCTGCTGCCTGAGATCACAGGCGAGGAAATGTGCTTAGAAGGAGCTGGGCCAGTGAGTAGATTCTGGTCTGAACCCATCCACTGACTTGCCCAAACCCACATCTTCCAATGCTTCCCTTGGACAGAGGGGTCATCGTAGGTCCCTCTTCATCTCACAAAATGACCTCACTCTTCTGAAAACAGAACCGCAGGAGCTCATGGTGTTTATAGTCTCACTGGTGCTGTGAAGGAACAATGCAGGACGTCACCTTGGTTTTGACCGATGATAAGAGAGACAGGGGCTTGGATATGGGAAGGAAGGGAAACCAAGTTCGGCTCTCCCTCCCAGTCCGACTCAGGTCCTCCGGTGTGGGGACCGCCAAGACAGCTCAGTGGCAAGAGGCTGCCTCACACCTGTCCTTCTGTGAGGCTTGGACTTCAGCTAAAATCCCCCAAAACTTGGAGAATTGGTCTTTCCCTTGTCAAATTTCCGAAATCTTAACACAGGGCAATGTTATTAGGGAGATCCATGTAAAATTTCCAGTATTGGATCATGTTTTTGCCTACAAAAAAGGCAAATGCTTCCACCAGTAGTGCAGGAATTCTCAGTCTAGTTTATTCTAACCACTCCTGCCCATTGGGTTGCTAGTGGCTTTTAAAGGTTTCTCTTAGCTCTATGTGGTTGTGTGAGGCTTTTATGCCTAAGCTTCATTTCGGGCAGGGCGAGGAGCACAAATGTCAACACGATTTCTAAGGAATCTAATTTCTTGCTCACCCTGAATTAAGAACCATTGGGCTGTCAAAAGAATAGAGAACAAAGCTGGAAAACCTAAATTCCCACCTCTCTAGCATTTAGCTAGAACAGGGGTATTGAACTCATTTTCACAGGGGCCACATCAGCCTCATGGTTGCCTTCAAAGGGTCTAATGTAACTTTAGGACTGTATAAATGTAACTACTTCTTAATGAGGGGCAAGGAGCCGGGCACTGCTGCTGGGTAGAAACAGGGTGCTGGGCTGGATAAAACAAGGTGAAGGGCCGGATTCTGCCTGCAGACCTTGTGTTTGCCACTTGTGAGCCAGAGGACATCACTTAAGCTGTCAGAATCCTGCTTTTTCCACTTCCATACGGTAGGTAACCTTTGTGTCCTGGGGATACGACAGAGCAAAAACCTCCAATGGGAGTAGAAACCCAAAGGGCTTGATGGAGGCTCTGGCACAGCCTGGGGTCACGCTCAGCAGACAGTCAGGGGCGACACAGCCAGATGGAGTGTCCGCCTGTCCTCTCCTGCCCAGGGGCCTGCCCTTTCTCTCTGGGATCAGGAAGTGCCGTAGATGAGTGAGGATGGAAGGGGACAGAGCAAATAACAACCCAGTAACCAGCCAGAAGCATCTTAAAACCTCAGAGAGGATTCTCCCCAAGTTTGAGGTACAGTGTCAGGGTCTGCTCTCCAGGGGCCACCGCAGAGGGTGACCTGGGAGTTGGGGTGCTTGGCTCGGGGACAGGGTCAGTGAGGCCGTGCTCCGCAGGCACACTGCGGAAGGGTTTCTGAAGCCCAGCCACTCTGTGCTGGGGCGGCATCCCTTCCGCCTCCCCCTCTCTAGTGGCCGGAAGTTAGGTCTGGTGGGTAACATGCAGGCTTCGGGTGAAAAAGCCACTGAGTGTGTGGGATTGATTTCCTACTTTTGTCCATCACTGTCCGTCTGGCTTTCTCTAGATCTGTCCATCCATCCAGTCTGTGTTTTCTCTGTCCCGAAGTATTTTGTGATGGGTTCACTGAGCTAATTCACTGGCAGTCCTGGGAATCACTCATGTTTCTGAAAGTTCTCCCCCCAGCCACAGCCTTTCCCCTTCCTCAGAGCCACACTCACGTTCGGTTTGTGTCGCCCACGTGCAACACGCGTGTAGACTCCTCGTTAAAACACTACAGCCTTGGGGATGGAGCTGCCGTCCTCCAGACTCACAGCATCTTGGCTCGTTCTTTGGGGGCAGATCTGAGCGGTCACCCAGGAGGTGCGTCTGGGGTGCTGGGACCTGAAGGGGTGGTGCCGGCTGTTCCCATAATGCACGTGCCGCGGAGATTCCAGGGGTGTCACAGTTGTAAGGGCAAAGGTGGCATGAAGTGGGGGTCGAATGGGTAAGAGCTTCCTGTGGCCCAGTGTCGTGCTTCAGTCATGACCTGTCTCTCATATCTAGGAACGTAAAATTCATTATTTATTTTATGTGAAGTAAAAATAGCGAGGGCTACTGCATGTATTAAAGTAGCTGTGACTTGGCTGTGGAAAGAGCAATTTTTAAAAATAGTATCTTTGCTTGGATAAGAAATACATATCTAGTATTCTAATTTATACTGTAAATTCTATAAGTTTGTATGTACAATAAAAGTAGGTTTTTAGTAATTGTAGTTTGAACCAGATTTCCTGAAAAGCCTAATAAAGGGGTTGTAGGTGTATATATAATGTATACATGTATACGTATATACATATATGTTTTTATAGATTTCACTTATAAAGTAGGGTACATTCCAAACCAAGAGCCTCAAATACTGCCAGTTTCTATGGAAGTAAAACCTAGATACCATCTCATGTTTCTTCAAGTACCCATTTAAAATAGTATAAATAGTGTAGAAGAAATATTTTAGTTTATACAGCTTAGAAAATCCCAGTTCTCTAGATCCCAAAATACACATATGTATGTTTCATTAAAAATTTTTACTTTTTCCCTTGTCTTCCTGAAGCGTGACCAGAATAAAAAGTATTTGGGGGGAAATAAGAACTATGGAACATTGAATCCTGACACCACAATAGGCGCTGTCCTGTGTGTTTTCAGATGATTTCATCTAATCCTCCAGTAGCTCCAGGAGTTGGCCGTGTGTCTCTTTCTCAGATGTGAGGTGGGGATGAATTCTAGGCTCAGAGAGCGGATGGGATGGGTGCTCGTACTTACCCTGTGAGTCAGCAGGGAGCCAGGAGTGAAACCTGGGCTCTGTCTGGCCAACCCGCCCCCCAGACGGTGCACTTCCTCGCCCTCTCTCCCACTGTGGCTGATTGCTCACGTGCCCGTGTGCAGATTCAGACGGACCCCTGACTCTGAGGCTCCAACAGCTGAATCAGAGAGTTCGTGCTTCCCTTGCTTCAAATGGCTGTTCTGGGACCTGCTTGGTATTTGGACGAGAATGGAATTTGGTTACCTCTCCTGCATGGCTCTGAGGAGAAACGCCCACGAGTGGGTACCTCATCCCTGTCTCTGCTCTGTGTACCCCAGCCTTCCTCTGCCTCTGTTTCACCTGTAGCGTTTCCACTTGAGCCAGGGCCTGGGAACCCTGGTGCAGACGCGCCCCTTAGAGTGAGGAGACGCACTTCTGGGAGGTGCTAAATGAGTTGGAGGTTTTGGTCACGGGCCCTCAGGACAGAGGCACCCACGCCCCGCTAATTAATTTCACGTGGGTGGGGAGACTGAGCCCTCCTTGTCCCTGTTGAAGTGCCCCACTGAACTCTTCAAGTCTGAGGACTGTTGGGGTGAAGCCACCAGGTACTTGTTTAGAGTCTGTCAGTTCCTGGCCCAGGAAATGACCCAGAACTTTCTTCTAGCTCTCGGGTCTCTCTTGCGGTGTGTGGAACGAGGAGGCTGTGGGAGTCCCCCAGGCACTTTGATGGTCGTTGCTGCCACAGTAACGGCATGTTTCATGTCCAGCTTCCCGGCCAGCCAGGGACAAGGGACCTTGCATTGCAAGCCATAACCTATGGGTTTGGATATTTCTTAAATTATAAAGGAATATTCATGACTTCAAAGAGGGGAAATGAAAAGGGGGAGGAAGACACAGTAAAAAGAGAGTGTGGCTGGTCTTTCCCTCAAAGGAGAAGAAGAAGAAGGGAGGCTTGTGCTACCTCGACCACCACAAATCATAAAATCCCCCAATTAAGCCAGCGGTGCAAGTGAGCACTGTAAACACACCGCCGAGACTCAGGAAAATGCAGTCTGCGGGCAAGGAAGAATTCCGTTAAAACGGAAAACATGTTTTACTCTCCTGCCCCCGACGTTAGAGGAGGTTGCTGCCATTTGATGTGGCACCTTGCTTTAGCCCTGAGGACACTTTTCATGGGGCTTCCTCACCGTCAGGACCTGATAAAGAACTGGAGAAGTGTACGCGGGTTCGAGTACTGTGACTCCCAGGGAACACCAGGGAAGGTCGGGGTTTCTTAATGGAAATTAAGAGAAATACTGAATATGCAGTGCAGTGTACAGATGATGTCTTACAGACTTGTACCCCTGAAATCTTCATAGTCTTATTGCCATTGTCACCCCGATAAATTCAGTTAAAAAGGGGGGAAAGAGAGTCAAACACATACACAATTTCCTAGTATGTGCCCCCCTTTTTTCTCTCTATATGGTGGTTACCAGGGTTAAGGGGTGATGGAAGGTGGTTCGACTTGGGGTACAGGTCATGTGTCAGAAATGCACACCCGAAATCCATGTGGCTCTATGAACAGCGTCACCCCAATATTTTTAATTAGAAAAGGGTATTTAATTGCCACTTTATAGACTAAAAACATTCTGTGGTCAGTAAACAAATATCTTGAGCACATATGTAGTCCAAAGGGTAAATAAATAGAATCCTATACAGAAGTAAAAACATCTGCCACGTGAATCTGAAAATAAAAGAGTCATGTTGTGTAGGGAAACAAAGCTGGAGCGAGCGCCTCAAGTTTTCAGTGCGGAAAATGCACTTCCCGGGGCGTCCCCAATCTCTCTGCACTACGTTTTCTGTTACAGTGAAGGCTTTGCAGGGGCAAGGCAGCCTGACCATCCAGGAACAGCCCTTTCCCGTGACCGAACTGTCTGTGCCTTGGTGTTGGCTTGGCTTCCGGCCATGGACAGGGCGTGTGTGCGGGGGGCACCAGGAGACCTGCACGAGGATACACAGCTTGGCGGCTCCCAGTCTCAGAAACAGCAGGCTCCGCATTAACCTCTCCCCACGTCACGGCTCATGTGCTGCCCGAGAGGTTCTGATGGAAGTGTTCGTGGAAGTGGGATGGGGAGGTGGAGGAGAACAGTTTGCTGCACCTGTCAGAACAGAACGCCAGTGCGGTGACCGGCTTGTCCACCTCTCTCACTTTGGGGATCAGAAGGTGCTGGTTGGCAGTGTGGTGTGTTACTGTCCCCAGCAGTGGTCTCTTTGGGTGGTCTTTCGAGACATTTAAAGAAAGACTGGCTGGAACAGAAAAGGAACAGTGGAGCTAAAAAGCCTTGGGAAAAGCTGGGAAGGCCAGTAGCTGAAGGTTGTCTTCCTTCCACCCGATTCTTGTGTTTTTGGTGTGATCTTGGACATCTTTTGCGCCAACTCCGTCGGGAGAGGGACCTCTTATTTAAGGTGTCTCCACAGCCCAGCGGACATGATGGCTCACACGTACATGTGCCTGTGCCTAGGTGTGTTTCGAGAGACCCGGAGTGGCGACGGCGATTTTTATCTTCTTGGCTTCTGATGGCCCCGTGCCTGGCAAACGTCCGCGGCCTGCAGTGACCCTTCACCTGACCGACGTCAGTGGAAACAACCACTCTCTCGGTGAGTCCGGCAGCTGTCCCCACAGGGCCGCCGGGGAGCAGTCCCGCAGAGCTGAGAGGGCACAAAGCGGGCCGATGCGGAGACGCAGCACCACCCCGCTGTTTCTCATCCCTGTCTGTCTCCTGGCACATGGGAGCCAGTTGCTAAAATTCTTCAGCCCATGAAAACATACATTTTTTGCTGCTCTGACAAAAAAAATTGGTATCGTTTTGATTCATTCCCACCAGACAGCTATTGTTATGTTGGCTGTTGTGATTTGTTCTTCTGGACAATTTAAGGGAAAGGAGGTCAGTGCCCCTGACAATTGTCAGATATGGCATGTTTTAAAAGTTGGGGGGCCCACCGGTTGAACACCGCTGTGCTGTGTGAATGGTGTCAGATGCGATTCCCGGCCGTGTTTCTCCTCAGGGACCTACGAGCTGGCATGCCGGCGCAACCCTCTGGTGGTCAACGTGAGCCAGCACCCGGATGTCCCCCTGTACCTCACCGCCTCCGCGCTGCTGAACTTCTCCTCCCCCTGGGTGGGCGTCTCTGCGGTGGCACTGAGGACGTCCTCCCACGTCGGGCCTTCGGTTCCCGACGACGGCGTCCCAGAGCGCGAGGGGCAGAATCCTCAGGGACAGAGGTACGAAGTCCCCTTCCTTCCCTTTGTTCTTTATTTTTCTCACGGTGGCGACAGACAGCTACCATCTCCACGTGTGGCGGGCACTTAGTCACCGACTGAAACACAGGTCTGACAGCCACTAAAAAGACAGAAGAAGGAAGCAAAGAGCCATTGGTAGGTGGCACGTTTGGGTTTTATATTTTGCTTTTCATTCCGTAGCTGAACATAATATTTTATGTAAATATTTAACATCTTTACAAGGTCTGAAAACTTTTTTTACACATAAAACCACTGCCTTTAAATTAACCTTTTTATATAAACTGCCAAAAATTTGCTGCCAAAACCCAGTGTTCCCTAAGCAATCTATGTCTTCCCACTTATTCCCACCCGGGCAGTGTATATAGGAAGTTTGATAATTAGTTTCTAAGGTGCGTCATATAATCAGAGTTATGTGCGGAGAGCAAGAATACAGTAGCCACCTCTGTCTTTGTGTGGACATGTGATAGTGACCACCTAGATAAGGTTTCCTGGGCTTCTGCTGCAGCGCGTGGAGGGACTACAGTCCACAGTGTTGGGGGACCCAGGTCGGCTCTGATTGGTGGGGGGGCACGGGGCACGCCAAACCCGGAATCTCTGCCGTGGTTGGGCCAGACTTGTTCTGTGCATGGTCGGACCAGTTGCACGGGACACAGGCAGCAGGGTTTGGTCCATCGAGGAGTGAGGTGTCAGGCGATTGGTATTCTAGTCGCAAAAGCCGAGTTCCCTGGCAGGGCCCCATCACCAAGGGGAGACTGATACCCCTACACCCAACCTACACCAGAACCCCAGCCTTGATGAGGGAGTAGGAGGACACGGTGCTTCGGCAGTATCTCAGTTATCTCTTGTGGCACAGGAAATGACACCAGAATCAGTGGCTTTATCGCATTTTCTGTGGGTGGGGACTGTGGATGCAGATCAGCTGCTTGCCTCTGGCCTTGCGTCTCCTAGGAGGTTTCTGCCCAGCCACGGGCCAAGGCTGCGGCAACCCCAAGGCTGCGGCAACCCCAAGGCTGGAGTGGAGTTGGAGAATCCACTTCCAGCCTCCCTCATGCGGCTGTTGGCAGGCGCCAGCAGGTCGGCATGCAAGCTCACTCACATAGGTGCTGACAGTGGGCATGTTCGCATGGGCGGGGCTCAGTTCCTCACCGCGTGGGCTTCTCTGTGAGCTGCCAGAGTGTTCTTATGACATGGCAGCCCATGATCCAAGAGACAAAGACAGCCAGAGCATTTGAGGACATGAGAGACGTCCCAAAAGGGAAGCCACAGTCTTTTTATAATACAGTGTTGGAAATGACAGCCCATTACTCTGGTACAGTCTATTCTTTAGAAATGTGCCAGTAAGTCCAGCCCATACTCAGGGGAGGGGTTTGCCCCAGGGCCTGGATCTGTAGGGCCCATGGTAGAGGCTGTCCAGTCCATGCAGCAATAGCAGAAGAAGTGCATTCACTCGGGGGCTACCTTGGTGCCAGGTGTTGTAAGTGTCGGGGAGGGAGAAGCAGTGAGGGGCAGGGTGATGCACACAGGAACATCAGCTCGTTCGCCTGCTACTCCTGCGTCTTCTTAGTGAGCAAACGTCTTCAAATATTAACACCAGAATGCAGACTCCTAAAATAACATTGTTTACCAGGATTATGGCCTCTCTCTTGTGTGTTTTCACATTATTTTCTCCACTGGCTCCACCTCTGGCCGCAAGCCCTGCAGAATTTCTTTCGGGTCCCTGCCACATGTGTTCTTGATGAGCTTCGTGTCTTTGCACAGAGTGTTCCTACTTTCTTGAACGCCTTCCAGTCCCTCTTCACTTCAACTCGTACTTCTCCATCAGGATTCACCTTCTTCTGTGGGGTTTTGGCAAGCCCCCTCCCTGGTCCACCGGGTCCTGCGCCCCACCCACACTCTAGAAAAGCAGCTATCACGCCAGGCAGTAACTCTTTATGTACCAGCGGTTCGTTCCCGCTACACTCTAAAATTTGCGAAGTAGGGATTCCGCTGCTCAGTATTTTTCAGTACCTAGCACAGGGCCCGCCACATAGTAGGGATCAGAAGTTGCGTGTTGATTGACAGGCATGGACTTCAGCTCTCGCTGCTCCACGGATCAGAACCAAACAAACAAAGCAGAAGAGCAGAAGCCACGGCCTCTGTAGACCTGAGGGACAAGCGTGCGCCCCGTCACAGCCACGACATTTTAACAAAGAAGTTGATTAGCTGTGATCACTGCTGCTAGTTCTGCTCCCATTTTCACTTGGCACTGTGGGGAAAACAAGTTTCACATGCATGCATGCAAACCAGTAGAAATAAGATACGACACTCTGGTTTACACAGAGTGTATCTGGAATGCATAAGCAATTCCAAACCACATGTGACTGACAGGGACCATGCAAATTGGCTTTTCCTTCTCTGCCAGCAAATCAGTGCAATATAGTAAATTTTGGTACACAGGGAACCTAATAGATCCCATCTATTTGCTTTGTGAACAGACTTAAAAATGCGAATCCCTCTGGGTCTCCCAAAGCATAGAAGAAACCTTTTTGCACCTTTGTACTAATCCCAGTTGTAGATGTAGATGGACCATGATATGAAACCCTCAAATTCTGGGCATAGTGAGAGGGATTCCTGACTAGCTCCTTCTTACCCCTTATGACCCGAACTCCATTAATACTGTCACGGGCAAGGGAGAGTTGACAGACGCCTGGCAGTAGAAGACGTGTTATCCATTTTGCACATCGCTAGCCAGCGATGGCCAGTGGCCTGTCTGTCCCACAACGCCGGGTCTTTAAACCAGCCTGGCTGGCCCACAGAGCCTCAGCGGGGAGCCAGGAAGCCTACGTGTGGCTCTGCAGTGATGCTCACAGTCCTTGGCTTAGACCCTTTGGCTTTGCTCTCTCTCTTCCTCTTGTTTCCCCTTCTGCTATGATGGCTTCCCTGCTTTATGACCCTTTGGGCTGAGTGTCCTGATCACAAACCCCTTAGTCTTGAAAACCAAGCTTGGTGTTCCACGTTTTGGCCACCGGGGCTCAGTAAGAGCTCAGTGCGGTCTTACTTTCCCTCTGTTCCCAGCTCTGGCTGCTGCAGGGGAAGGCCCTGCACATTGTGCCATAGCCCCCATGAGTTAGGGCGCCGGGGAGACCCCCAGCCTGTCCGGAGCTGTGTTGTTGACTTTGGAAAGTGGGAATATATATGTGTATATATATATCTTTTTTGATTAGTGCTCTTTTGGAGTGTCGTGTGTTCGAGATATAACCCAGGAACTAATAGGTTAATTTGCTTGTGAGTAGATTGACTTGCAGATCATCAGAACTGTTATTATCTATTTTGGAAACTCACAAGGTCAAGTCTAGAAAAATTCACTAATTTCCTGCTGGGTAGGTGGCTTCTCCTACACCAGAATTTTGCTCCTCCAGTCACATGAGCCCTTGGGAATGTTGACTGTACCTCCTCCGACCCGACCTAACGGCGTGTCCGTCACGTCCTGGGTGCCGAATTTTGGAAGATCACTGTCTCCTCTCCCAGGGCACAGGCTCCTAACTGCAGTCCACACTTGCTAGGACTCATCCCTTCTTCATTTGCACTTTGCCTCCCGTTGATTTTCCTTTCTACCTGTTCTAGACGAGGTCAAGAATGCAGTTACCTTCCTATCTCACTTTTCTACCTGCTCTAGACGAGGTCAAGAATGCAGTTACCTTCCTATCTCACTTTTCTACCTGCTCTAGACGAGGTCAAGAATGCAGTTACCTTCCTATCTCACTTTTCTACCTGCTCTAGACGAGGTCAAGAATGCAGTTACCTTCCTATCTCACTTTTCTACCTGCTCTAGACGAGGTCAAGAATGCAGTTACCTTCCTATCTCACTTTTCTACCTGCTCTAGACAAGGTCAAGAATGCAGTTACCTTCCTATCTCACTTTTCTACCTGCTCTAGACCAGGTTGAGAATGCAGCGTTACCTTCCTATTTCACTTTTCCTTTGTGTTGCAAACAGCTGTCTGGCTTTTTAAAAGTTTTGATGTTATTAGGTGTTTAATACCCTGTGGCTGTTTTATCTTTATTAGGGTTATACCCCTTGCCAACCCTTTTGCCCCTTTACATGCTTTTGTCGTTGTATTCTACTTCATTTGGAATTACAGTTTCCACCGCTGCTTTCCTTTTGTTTGTGTGTGTTTGACAAATATCTGCCCTTTTGAAAACCTTTAACCTTCCTCTGCCCGGACTGCCAGTGAGCTCAGGGCATGTCGCTCCACCGTGCTGCTTACAAAAGCAGTAGGGTTTCTCCGTGTAAAACTGCCGCACGCTTCTGTCCCAAAAGCGTGTCTCATGGCCCCAAGCCTCTGGCGTGAAGGGCACCCTGGGATGTTCGCACCCCTGGGACACTTCTCTCAGAACCCAGTGGCATTTGCTGATTCTCCCCGCTCCACCCTCCAGACCCATCGTTCTCTGTGATGCGAAGTCATGAAACAAGAAGGAAGAGTGTCACTGGGGGGACTGAGGGGTGGGGGCAGGGCCGTGACCCTTGAAGGTCAGTGCCCGTTTTCCTGCCCTCACAGCGGCCAGAGAATGAAGAAGGAACACCCCGCTTCCCTCTCTTCCTTGAGCACGGCTCCATTCCTTATTTGCCTTTTCTTTTCCAGAAAAAAAAAAATGAGTGCTTTGGTTTCCAGTGATGTTTCTCAGTTCAGCTCCCATGCATTTTGACATCAGGAGGAAATCTCACAGGTTCCAGTCATCGGTCTCGGTTTTCGGTCTTGAGCAGAGTTTTCTCGTTGTTCTGCCTTGTTGGTATTTCAGGGGGACGCAGGCAGAAGTGACCCCATTGTATCTGTGTGAGATCAACCGTGCATGGGGCTGGGGAAGCCTGTGGCGCGTTCTCACACCACATGGGAGCACACCGCCGCCAGTTCCCACACCCACCTGCTGCTCCGTGTGGCGGTCCTTCCCCCCGCCCCAGGTGTGCGCGTTGCCTGCCGTCAGCGTGTGCTGCTCAACCTCATCC